AGTTGATCAAAAGAACAATTTGATGCCATTTTGATCACATAACGAATACTAGTTCATATCGAAAAACTTATAAGAATACATTTTGCGATGGAATTCCAAGGAACACAGGAAATTCACCGTATACGGCCGTATTTCGTCGTAATACAACCGCCGTATACGGCTGTTGTATATCGCCGTATATTGCCGTATACGGTCGTTTACGACCGTGTCTATTGGACCTGGATAGAACAGAATGGAATATAAAATTATAGATTTGTACACCTTAAACAGACAAAAAGAAAATGTATCAACCTAATACAAAATCCGTCTTAACTACTATCAACACTAGTCGGTTCGTCGTTTTACTTAGAAATAAAAGCAACTTACTGTTTCGGTAACAGTTTAGGTACAGATGAACCGCCTGGAATAATTGCTAACAAATTGTCCCAACCATCTATAAAGATGTTAACCAGGTGGTTGAATGTATGTTAGGTAACCCAAAATTTATGTGCATTTCACACCTACCTCTTACACCACACCGCTACAATGTCGTTCAATTAATTCTATCAATGGCATTGAGATTTCTTCTTGAACTGTTACCGGATTATTTACATAACCACTGAAGCAGGATAACTGAAAAATGCAAATATGCGTATATGGTTAAATAAGCAATATGGTTTGCTTTGTCTGCCTTCTAATGATTCAATGAGATCCTACAATGTACACAAAATTAAATCAGAACGCATGATCTCTGTAAAAGCTTCTCATTCACAACAACTTACTTTTTCATCACCACATATATAAGCACCAGCTCCTTATGTACCTCCTCCTCATGTACAAATATATCAAAATCATAGCCGGTATCACAAACATTCTTTCCAATGAGGCCTGCTTTATAAGGCTAGAAATACAAACGAGAACACAAAGAAGACATTTATGAACAGTACCTAAGTTTTATCTAAGCTTCACATCTACTCACTTCTTGAATAGCTACTTGTAGGTTTGAACATTCTATCTTGCGCTCTTGAATATTTACCCATGTACCAGTTATGATGGCCATTCGAACACGGCTGACTTGGACAATACGGTATTAATCCCACTGACTGACAGAACAAAATACAATCTTCTAACGTACTAGTAATACTGTGCCAATCGCATGCAGTCATTTGATCGACGAGTGGTAAAGGATAAATTGACATTTTCGAACAGTTAAGGAGTGTGCTATGCTCTTGACACATGATATTATTTATATAATTTCTTTAGGTGCTCATGTCATAATACAATTTAAATTACAATTTTCAGAACAAATCATGTCTCGTTTTATTACTTAATCCTTTTATTGTCTCGTTTATCTTTTCTGTCCTACATCCTTATAACAACTACTCTTTGTTATTTATTATTTAATCCGTTTACTAGTTGTAATTAATTGAAATCTGCCGGTGTTATCTACTATAGCTTTCTATAAATAGAGTCATGTATTACTTGCGTTCATAATTCCTTCTTTTGTTTATCCAATGATATATATTTTTGGTCTAAACAGAAGTCTAAACATATTTCTGAATTCAAAACAATGCTCACACCTCCTTTCGGTCGGCGCTCGCTGGAGGCCTGCCTAAGACAGCTTCTGGACTTTTTCTGTTTTCATGTGTAAGGTTCGGAATCTAATATGAATCTAAAGAGCAAAAATCTCAAGAGGTCTAAAACTATTGCTGAATTTAAAACAATCCTCATGTTTCCCTCCTGTCGGCGTTCGCAACCAGTATAGATGAGAAATGCTATGAACTTCTCTGATTCTACCGGAAAACCATCTAGTGTAATATAAAGCTAAAAGGTTTACTGCACACCCTCTGCATATCCGAAAGAGGTTGGAAGTATTTCTAATCGATTTGTTATAATAGATTATCGATACACTGTCAATTTTATTATCCGTATACCACTTTTTTTGTATTATCACAGTTGACTGCTATCTGGCGACATCTACGCCCGGCCTACAGAAAACGTTTGCTTAGCTGTTTACCTCTCTGCATCAGTAGATATTTCAGATAATCTCTTTGAATATTTTCTCTATACTTATCTCTTATATTATGTAAAAATAATTTTTTACTTTTGTCTCCTGTGATTCGCTTATTCATAGAATATCTGACAGCCATTTTTCCGTATTTTGACCAGTGTTTCTAACATTACGCGTACGCCTTTGTTCCAAAGCGTACGGTACGCGAACTAAATTGAAAATACGCTGTGTTTCAACCAATAGGAAAAGAGAGAACGACAAAATCCATGAATTACCACGTCCATGTACGCTCTGCTGAAAATTCTCATTAGAAAGCCTGACACAGACAACTATTTTGTAAGGCCACGTTCACACTACAAATTTTTCAGAGTTAACTCGGAGTTAACTTCGAGAGCGTTCACACCTAAATCTTTAACACACCAATAAGATTTTGATATTTCCCCTAAAATAATGCTGCTTAGGTTGCAGCTTGCTAACAGCCGGCCAGTTTGAATTTACGTTCTACATTTGACTTTCTAAGCTCAAACAGAAAAA